AATGGCAGTATTTTTTTCAACTTGTAAGCCTCTTAAAATAAACACGGAAGCAAGGCAAGTCGACAATTGAATGAATTCTGGCCGTCCGATGTAATTTCCATCAATCGACCTATCGATCTGGCACTGGCATACAGAGCCCTCCGCAATCATCTCCAACCTTGCTTAATCGTTCTCTGATTTGTTTTTTACCCCTTACATCTGTGTGTGTCTTACAAAAGTTCGAAAGCTCAAACGAATGAAAAAATGTTTGACAAGTCTTCTTTTCTTCTTCTGCCCCGTTGCGAATTAGTCAGTCGTCTTTTAAGCATGCTTTTTCCTTTGTTGAGGCTATTCGAGCACAAAGTTTAGGACCAGAGAGAGAAGCTATTTTAAAAAGACTGCAAGTATTAACGAAATAAGGTTGTAAGGTTGCGTTGCCAACCAGCTACATCGATACTCTCTCAGGCAACCAATCGCAGCCAAAACTCTAATCAACTGGTGAACTCGGGAATCGTTTTACCTTTTGAGTATGGCATCTTATCCACGTTGATTTTGCTCAAAGCGTTAGAGTAAGGGAACACCCATCGTTATGTTCGTGACCAGTCATTTAGGCAAAGATGACCGATAGCTCACACGAAAGGGACTCTAATATGAATCCGACGATATAATTCTGAAATTTAGTTGACCCACTTGTGAAATATTTGCGGCCTCAATTGGATTCGAACTCACACATATCAGAGGCTTGTGCGCAGCCAACGCTCTATCACTGAGCTATGAGGTTCACCGCGATCCGTGAATTTTAAAAAACAATTGGCTCGATTATACCCACCCAACTTACTACTTGTATGGAATCTAACTTTAGGAAACAGCAAGCTGACTGTTCAGGTAGGATTTCCTACGCAATCATCTAGAATTCACCAGAATGATTACTAGGCTCACTTACTTGTTAGGTGTAGGGGGTGGTTGGCAGATTTATGTAATTCAGTTGACCAAATTGTGAAAAATTTGCAGCCTCGGTGGAAATCAATTCCACACAGCAGGGAAGGCTTTTGCGCAGCCAACGCTCTACCATTGAGCTACGAGGCTCACCGTCAACCATGAATTAAATCACAATTGGGTCGAGTTTGCCCGTCCAACTTACTGCTCATATGGAATCCAACGTACTCTCACCAAGGCCGCGATTTTTTCACGCTTGAGTCAACTGAATTAAGCGCATATGCCGAAACCCCTAATAATTCTGAAAGTAAACCTTTGCGGTATTCCACAAGAACTTATGAAAACGTGCACACACCCTAGGTATTGCGATCAAATCTACGAGTTCTGTCTGTCAAGCGGAGGATCAAAGGTTTCTTCACATTCATCACCCCTTTTATACAAACACGCTAACACAAGTTTAGTTTTCTTGTTTTCCTCCTGGGGACTTTACGATAACGAGCGATTCCCACAGATCTGATTGGCTGTTTTGCCGTTTGTTTACATACCAATCCTATTCTGTGCATTAACCATGTACACGGAAACAAAGTCCGTATTTATCCTTACCAAGAGACGACTTCTTCCAAATATCGATCAATGTATTAACTTAACCTTCTGGATTTTCGGTTGCAATGATAGGTTTTCTGTGACCTCCATTAGCCATTTTGTTGTGGACTTGTATTCGGAGGGGAGTACAGTTGATATATTCAAGGGTTACTACGAAAATTCCCGACGTTTATATGATGGGTGACTTCCCAACGCGAACTTTTTTATCATTCATATTTGACTAGATGTTATGATTTACGTGTTGTGCCCATCGCAACGATTCCTGATATTGGAGTGTATATTGCCGCCTCTGCGTGTGGTAATTCCAAAAAAAGCACAATTCACAGCGGGCCTATCTCGGTATTATAGTTCATGTTTTGCTCACTAGAAAGTACCAGAATAATAAAACACGCGGGATTGGGTTATGATATAGTCAAGGCCCGCACAGATTAGACTCGAAGATGATAGAAACAGCAGTTGGTCATCAATTTCTTCGAGACTACCGGGTCTGCTTCAATTTTGCTACAAGAGTTGGACAGTTCGCATAAGACCGTACGAACCAAAGCTCCATAAACAGGTACTTTAGCACTCAGAGGTATTTAAGTTCAACAAACAGGAACTTTCCTAGTAAATAAGAAGGATCATAACAGTGGCTTTACATAATGGATCTCCCCGACTTATGTCAAAAATGAATCTCTCCCAAAAAATAGTAATATTGATATTTCGAAAAGAACAGACGTCATGTGGACACCAGAATGGGGGGACCTAGAATAGGGCCAGGCTACCCTTTTACGTTACAACATGGCAAAATTGATTCAGCCGTATTTTGTCCGGACTGTTTCACCTATGGAAAGTATTTCCTTTGTTCGTCTTACAGAGATAAAACACATGTCCACTTTTATAGGTCTGCCAACCACTCGAGTCAATAAAATTTGATCATTTCTAGTGAACTAGACAAAAGGTCTTCTT